GGGTTCGCTCTGACTCGGGAGGCTGCCCTCTGCTCACTGTGTGGTTACTCGCATCGTTTCGTTGTTCCCTGTCTGCTGTGTTTTTTTTTTGTTCTCCAATCAGGGCCCTCCTTGCATCCGTGGGTAGCGCGAGGGGACAGCATTCATTTGCCCGGCCGGCCGGCGTAGAGGGGCCCCAACTGCGGAGGGAGATCACAGCCCGGCTGGGTCCCGCCTGCGTGCTGGTTGCAGTTCCGACAGCGTGGGTCCGCCTTGGGGGCCCAGCCGGCGGCCCCATCCCACGTTTTTTTCTTCTCTAGGCTTGGCCATGATCCCAGATCCTGCCGGCGCTTGATGCCCCTCGGAAGGCAGACTAGGGCCCGGGGCTCAGAGATTGTAGTGTAAAACCACCTGCACCCCCTTCGCACTTATCCGAGCCGTGGACCCTCCACACAGCAAACCATCACGACTCGCGCTGCCGTGGTCGGCCAGCAACCAGGGCTTTGGACGACCCCGGGCAGGCCCATTTTTTAAGCTCGATGGAGGGACTGTAATCTCGCTTTTCCCTGGGGTGGAGAGGACGATCTGGTGATCTGGATCTGCCAGGTGCGTGGGCTTCAATGTCGGGGTTTTAGGAGATGCCCGCAACGAGAGTGATCCCAGGTTCGGCGGCGTCGCTGTTCACCGAGGTGTTGGCTGCTTGACTCGGCTTCATCATGCCGCTTACCAAGTTCCCCACCGCTGCTGCGCTGGCAGGCGGGCGGGCGGGCAGGCGGCGTGGGCCAAGAGTCGTTGAGGTCGTGGATCGGTCATCCGTGCCCCGGAAATGGCCTCATCACGACGGGCTGTGTGATTACCTGAGGGCGGTCAGGATGGTGTGGGCTTGGGTGGCCTGGCCTTGGAGCCCGGATGCCAGGGGCAGGGCAGGGCAGGGGGGGGCAAGAGGCCACGCGATTGACACGAGCCGGCTTGACGCCATCCCAGATTTACAGCAGCCCCGAGATTAAGTCCACAAAGCAGGCCTGACTGACGTTGGGCATATCTGGGCTGGGGTCGGTGTGTTAGCTACTCAGTAGTAGCTACCGGGCTGGCGGGCAATGGTCGATGGCCTACTTGCGTGTCCGACCGTCGACTAGTACTATGCAAGTAGTAGAGAGGTGTGGCAAGGATTGGCCGTGACGGAGACAAGCAATGGCAGAATGCGACTGGGCGGGCAATCGAGGCCAAGCTGGGGTGGCTAGCCTGAGACCAGATCCGGATCTAGATTTGGATCTCCGAGTCCCCACTTTGCATCGTAGCGTCGTACACTACTCGCTGTGCTTGCTGTGCTTGTTGTGCTTGCTGTGCTTGCTGTGCTTGCTGTGCTTGCTGTGCTTGCCGTGCTGCACGCCTGGAACTGGGAAGGAGCTGCTGGTCGAGTCCGGGCTACCTGCCTAGTAGTAGGTGACGAAGGCACAGTAGGGGGCCCACCTCACCTCAGCACGGAACAAGGTCGGCTCAGCTTAGGCAAGCGCTACAAGCGTCTACGCAGCACGCAAGGCTATATCGTGCTCGTGATATACTGAACTTCGCATCGTACGATCTAGATTGTGTGCAGGGCCTGGCTACTTACTGTTCGTGGAGTTTCAAAGAAGCATTCCCGCCCAACCCTGCCCAGCCCCTATACCCTGTATAAATGCATGTACCTGCCTGGGTGCCCAGGTACCTGATGTATGTACCCTTTTCACCCTGCCACCCTGCCTCCCTGCCACCCTGCCACCCTGCCTCCCTGCCTCCCTGCCCCCCCCCCCTCCCCCCATTCCCAACGGTCACCCCCCGTCGGTTTGTCGACGACTCGGACCATCAACGGTGGGATGCTGTGATGCTGTGATGCTGGGATGCTGAGGTGGCGGTACTGCTGTGTAGTACGTGTATGTAGTAGTGGCCTGGCAACCTGGCAGGTGCAGACCTGTGCTGGAGCGGCAGGACAGGGCCGGGTTGTGCTGTCATCCAGGGTCTGGGCATCCGCACGTAGCTGGAGTCCCCCGCAAGTCACCCTCTAGGAAGCTACATGCTCGCTACCTGCCGGCCGAGTCTCGGCCCACCGTCTCCCAATCGAGAATGCACCGCGCGCGCGCGTCCACGGGCAGGACCCTCTGATCACCACACCTCAACGGCTACACAGTGGGCTGAGTGGCTGGGCCGTCAGGCCGTCCTTCCAAAGTCTCCCTGCCAGGCCTGCTAGATCTCCCTGCCAGCCTGCCAGCCTGCCAGCCTGCCAGCCAACCCGTCCCTCGATGCCTTTCAGCTCAGGGCAAAGATACCGTGCAGCCCGCATGCGCCAGGGCCAGATCTGCTGGCGTGCCACAGCTTTGCTTCAGCAGCAAGACGCACCCGCAGCTCCCGCCTCGGCCTGCTCTTTATCCGCTGTCGATCCTCCCGCCTGCCCGCCCAACGGATTGACACCCACAACTGTCGCAGGGCCCCCCTCCAACCAAAAAAACAACAAGTGGTCGACATGGCTGGCTTCCAGAACCAGACTCCGGGACCGAGAGGCCTGCCCCAGACAGGAATCTGCACGACGCCCGAGACATATTCAATCTCGTCGTCTTCCAGAGCTGCTGTCTTCCAGAAGCTTGCCGAGGTGGCTGACGTCTGCTGATGCCTGTGGCCGGGGGCCATCGGGGCCTGCACACAGTCTGTCGCTCACCAGCTGTTCGCACTCGCTTCTAGAAACACCGGCGCCACGCTCCCGCCGCCCTGCTCCGGTGACATCGTGCCTGTCCAGCACTGCTGCGGAAGCCGCCCAGCAGATCTTGACAGGGTGACAGGGTGACAGGCAAGCCCTTTGGGGCCCTGCCAGCCTTCATCTCGGCCGCCCCATTGGATGCGCGTTTCAACACGGCCAGCACTGCTGACAACCCCAGAACCTTGGCTTATAGTCCAGGGCCTGCCTGTGTAGCGGTGCCTGCAAACAGGCTGACAGGTCAGGCAGGTCTCGTCCTCGGAAACGGAATCATGGCGTTCCTGTCCCTCTCTCGCGGGGCACATGCCCAAAAAAGGAGGGATATGACTGCCTCTACTACATAGTAATCCTTCCCAAACAGCCGATCGACAACACCATCCCATCAGCCACATACGGAGATTGATGCTACCGCATTTGGATAGCGGATAACGTCAACAACCGAGCGCATTTCAATTTCTACCACAGTACTCCGCCCGGGAGGCCCGTCCAGGCGAATGCTACGCAGTACGCAGTAGATCCCATCGTCTGGGATTGGCGTCTTCTGCCCGTTCCCACCGCGCAGGCTTCCTGGCCGCCTGCAGGCAATACCGACTACCCAGCAACCGGGAAATATGTACTGCCGGCCTATCTGATCCGACACATATAGGCATGGCTTCGGATCTGGGATCTCGCGGTAGGAATCCTTCCATCCATCCCCCCGTCCATCCATCTCATCTCATCTCATCGAAATCGCATCTCATCTCATCTCGGACGAAATCTGGAGGAAGGGCCTGTCGATGACAATTATGCGTCCGCCAACGCATTCCCTGGCCTCGTGCGCGTGCTCTCCCCCTCCCATCCAAAAGGCCCCATGGTTCTGTCGCCGGGAGCTACTTGGAACTCTATCTCCCACCCACATCTCACACCGGTCTCCTGCGTGGTGAGGTGTCCAAGTTTCTGGTCTTCGGGTCCCGCCAAGGCCTGTCAGCCAGTCTAATATAGCGACCCGCCTCTGACCACCACGAAGGCCGTTGCTTGGAGCTAAAGTTAGCGTTGCGTGCGTGCCCGGGTAAACTATGGAATGGCGTGGTGATGAGCCCGCCCTCTTCTTGGACCTGAGCTTTCCCACCAGACAGACACCGCGAACAAGGTTTAGGCATCATGTCAGCCGCAGCCTAGCGTACCGACGGAAAGAGCCCAACTGATCAACCTCGTCGGAAAGAGCCACGCGCGAGACCGCCCCTTCAAGACCCCCATAGTTCCCATTGCTCTCACAGCACCGGGGATCGACACCCGAACATGGAGGTAAAGCCCGGCGCTGAGGTACGATCGACCGGCCAGTGAGAAGGATCTAGCCGTGAGACAAACAGGGAAGACCCCTCTAACTTGCCTCGACTGACAGACGTCGTCGGATGTTTTGTGTTTCTCGCACCGTACGGGATCTTGCCCCCCCCCCAAACTGCCCTGGCTATGTACTGTACATTGGCAGGACGCACGCCAAACGCAAGAGACATCCATCCCCTGTCGAGCTCACTTCCGCTTACGGTAGTATTTAGTGCCGTCAGCCCATTATCGACCACGTGCTATACAGTATGGGGACACGCCATTGACGACAATCCTTCTTTGTCCACCGAAATGCGCTTCGGTAGTTGTGTCGACGGAGGTGAGGCCTCGTTTCAGGGGCCTAGCAGACTATCAGATGAAAGACCCAGAAGCGCAAAATCGGGGGGGGGGAAAGGAAGGAGAAGCAAAGAAGTCATGGGTGGCACGAGGTCGCAGATGCTCTCTCAGCAGCTGACGCTGAGGACGAATGAGTGCCCACCCCACCCTTCACCTCTGTGAGACAGGTATATCTCTCTTGTGCCACATGAACGGTGGGATGGATGCATTCCGCCCTCGACACCCTTCTAGAAGGAATCCAAGCTCGGGACCGAAGGGGCTGGGGGCGAACGTTTGTGAGTGCGTGTGTGTGCGTGTACGTGTACGTGTACGTGTATGTGAATGCCTGCATGTGTCTTGTGTGCCTGAAGGGCCTGATCCCATCAAAAGGTGCCACGGCGGATCTTGACACCACACCAAGGCCAACACTGGCTAAAGTATCGGGGCCGGGGGACTCGCAACATTCCACCAAAGGTCTGACATGACAGTGGCGGTGGGGAGACTGACGAGCCACAGAAAGGGCTAGGACGGGGGACGAGGAGGATCAGGAGCTTCCCTACTGACAGTCACCCCTCGGTTTCGCATAGTGGCACCCGATCGTCTTTCATCTTGCATCGTCGGTGCGCCCGCCGCCGGGGACACGACGAGTGGGCCGCAGATGGGGCTCAAAAGGCAGGCGCACTCCAGCGCGGACACCGAGAAAATCTCCCACAGTCTTGCGCAGACAAACCGATGGATATTCAGAGGCATCACCACTGCCGGGAGACAGGAAAGACAAGTCCGCCTCGCGTGTTGGACGAAGCAGCGGCCAGGAACAACAGACAAAAGACATATCGCACGGCACGCACACAATAATAATACCACACGGGCACAGCACAGCACAAAGGACGCGGGAAACAATGACTCTGTGCGACACTGCAACAGCCCTTTCCCTCCCCTCTCTCTCATTGCCGCCCAAAACCCAATCTACCTGCGAACCCAATCATCTGCGTCTGAAGTCTCTCAGAGGCCGGGCGGCTGAGACAGGATCGTGTGGACGGGCTCATGCAAGATAGGCATTGGAAGCCGCCGACCCGACACGGGTGATCGATGTTTCTGGATTGTTTGCTCGGCATCGAAGACCATACCCTGCTGCTGCCCTGGTGCCCTGGTGCCCCTGGTGCCCTGCCCTGGGGGGTTTCTTGTTGCTTGTTTGTCTCTAGGCCGTGTGGGATGCGGCTTACGCATGTGCGTGGTGTGTAGTGTATATATGCATGCACGGCTATGTATGTATGTATGTATTGTATGTATAGGCAGTCAGACAGGTAGGCAGGTGGATTTTCTTCCAAACATGCCCGCCCTCTCTCTTTTCCTTTTCCCAGGTGCAGAACCAGCCGCACCACCCAGGCAAGGTCCTGCAACTCCACGCGCCAGCCCCCCTCCACCCTCCTTTTTGTTCGATCCCATCTTGCATGCGAGACGATCGCGGCCATATGATTGGGAACCCAAACTTGGACGTCCTGCGATGTATATGCACGCACTTTTGGGGCCGCGCCTGGGTGGTTGTGTCACCGCCACGCCGCTACTGCTTTTGGACAGCCTCCCCGTACCTAACACGCAGTAGACTTGGCCTTCCTCATCCTCACCCCTTCACTCCGCCCCTGGCATGTGTTTGGCGTAATCTGATGGGCACCCGGTCTGTCATTGGGGTGGCTCACCGTGAGCTATCTGTCCTGCAGATGACACTTGTAACATACTCAGGTGCGGGAGGACACAAGCAACCCAGGCAGTTAGTTTCCTCGAGAGAGGGGCTGGGAGGGGAGGGGGGGTGTTATCAAGAAGGGGGCGGTTAAACGTGGCTGTTTCCGGCCCATTAACCTGCAAAGCCCCTGACGCACCGCGCCACCATCTCATCATCACCGTGAACCCAGCCCGAGTTGCTGCTGATGCTGCCACAATATCGAGGATGGGACGAGAACAGACGCTGTCTCAAAAGACGGACAGACAGAGATCATGTATCCCATGAGTCCTCGCGAGGTACCTAGCATCCTGCGATACCTCCTCCTCGTTGCCCCGCCCATTCACGTGTGGGCTTGCCGGTCCGCCCAGCCCGTTTAGTTCTCAGTTGCCACTGAGTCTGTGCCATCTGCCTCATGGGATGGGACCGAAAGGGGCCTTGGCCCCCACGACCAAAACGGCAGTTGGCTTTCTTTCGCAAGGCGGCAGTCCACATCAGACCATAATAAGCCCGACAAAGATCAACCCATCTGTAGAAAAAGGGCAAGATCGTGCGCATGGCGTGCATCAGCCCAGTGTTTCCGGACCACCCAAGAAGCCAGGGGGAAGGAACTGAGAAACGATCTGATACCACGGGGTAGGGCCTGTGTGAAACTGACGTGATGTTGTTGCATGGGTGCAACTTTTTACAGTTCTGGCGGCATCCGGTTGACAGCCGTGGCAGCCGTGGCAGCCGTGGCAGCCGTGGCAGCCGTGGCAGCCGTGGCAGAAAGTTTCGACCGTTGAGCTGAAAAGGAGACACGAAGCGAACGGTACGGAGTACTCGCATCCCTCCCAGATATAGTAGGGGAGGCCCATGCGGTGGGTTGGTAGGGTTCGTGATATTGTGCCAACGCTCCGCACCGCCCGGAAGCGGTCGTCTCCTCCGGGCCGATCACACCTTTACGTAGGAGGCAGGGCCTGGACCACACCAAAGCCCAAACCAGGCATCTGGGTGGGGGTCGCTATGGGCAAGTTCCGGGGCACAGACAGAGTGGGAGGGACAGGGAGAGGCGCTGGATCGAGCGAAGGAAGGGCGAGGGGGGGGGGAGGTTTAGGTCCGCCTTGTGACAGCACATATAATAGGGAGGGCTGGTCTGACTGGGGTGTCGTTCGGCGGGTAGCGTAGGAGCCGGTCCGTGCCTGTTGTGATTTGACATTGCCCTGGCCGGAAAGTTGCGTGGTATTGCTTAATAGTGACTGCTATACTGTACTTATGATCTTCACAATACTAGGTGAGCTTGTTCGGCATTTTTACCTCCAGACCGTGCCTCACCGAAAGGGGGTGCGTAGGCAGTGATAGCCCGAGACAGCCGGATACTGAGCCCGTTATAGGGATACATTGGCGGTAACCCACGGTGCTAGTTGTGACGATTGTTTCGCGTGAAGCCACCGAGGTCACATACGTGCTAGCCATGAAGAGCGTGGCAATATGAATACGACAGGGCTGCGCGGCCCGTATCGACAGCCGTTGCGAGAGCCGTTGCAAGCTCACGATGGGTCCGAGGCAGTAGAGTCGGGGTTTCCAAGTTGTGGAATAGGTCACCATGTTCATTCAGCCGCCGGTGCCGGCAGCTCCAAACTCTAGATGGACGGGCAGGCTGCTGTTCGAAAGACAGCCTGCCCTCCCAGACGCTTGGCTCATATACCAGCCCCGTGACGCAGCGAGGCCCTCTCGGCCTCCTATCTGGCTATCTGTGGCCCGCGGCCTCGTTGGTCCAACTTGGGTGATGGTCGTCGGCGATGCCACCTCGAGCACTCACCAGTCACACGCCCTACCCAACAAGGCAGCCAACTCCTCCAGATACCTCTTGTCCGTCTCATTGAACCCATTCTTCTCAGCACAATCAATGTCAACTTGGGATGCACGTGTCAGCTGACTTGCTCTGTTCTCGCATGTCGGTTTGGCACTGCCAGCTCTGCGCCGCCCTCTATTTTTGTTTGCCGCTCGATCCACGTGCGGCTGCGAGAGCATTATGAATCGAGGAAATCCCTATGGGCCTCCTTGGCTGTGCTCGTCTTCCTGGGCCCGTGATCTCATCATCGGACAGCCGTAGAGCTTGCACAGGACACGAAGTGAGAGCAGCGCGACAGCTGCACAGCTGATGGCGACCCATATGGGGTTTGGGTTTGGGGGGAGGGGGGTTCAATGCAGTCGAGGGCGCAAGGGAAACACAAGAGCAACAGACAAGTTCGAAAGACAATGGTAACTCACTAATCCCGACCACCTTCTTCTCCACGTGCCCGCCCTCCTCAGGGCTGACCACCTCCACGGTGACAGGGACGACGATCTCGCTCTTCGAGGCGCCGTCACACGCGATGTGGCCCGGGAATGCGTCGACGTCCGGGACCAGCTGCGTCTCCTTGGTCGCCGCTGCCGTGCCGCACACGCCACGGCCAAAGTCTATGGTCTGGCAGGCCACCTGGCCCATGAAGGGCCCCAGGATGAGTCCCTTGCCGTGCGAGTCCGGGTCGAGGACGTAGAAGCCTGCGATGAGAGAATAACAGGTATTTGGTGAGCAAGATTCCGACCAAGACCAGAACAGGGTACGACGCTGAACATACCAGCCCAGTTCACACCCTTGCTCGGGGACGGGAGGCTCTTGTATGCGTGCCACAGTAATGAAGCGGTGTTTGCCAGATTACTGCGAAGGGAGAAAGATCAGAGCCCAGGTCAACGAGTCTCTTCGCGATTCATACACAGATACACTCGCTCTTCCCCTGTCGGGCCCGGAACCGCGCTCATATGAAAGGGCGATGCCAGGGGGTTGGGAGGGGGGGTTGAGTCGCAATGCTCACTGTAGCTTATCCAAAACTTACGCAACCTGTTCATAAAGCACGAGAATACATCAGAATCTCATATCCTCCAGGGTTTCGGACATCCATAGGGTGAGTGGTGCGTGGCCGAAAGCAACCGGGGCGAGCAGACCTACCCAGTTTCTCTGACCGTCAAAGAGCGCCGCGGCCTGGTCAAGCACCTGCTGCAGGGCCTCTTCCTTGGACACGCCCTCGGCGAAGGTCGAAGCGTCGGCGTGCACCTGAATTGGCGAGCCTCGTCAGCAAGGCTGCTTGCTCCGCCACTTCAGTAGGCATGGAGATACCATACCATCTTTTCGTCCTCCTTTGACCTTCTCGTCTCGCTTATGTTTCTCTAGGGAAAGCCGGGGAACGGCGGTAGGACTCTGCTTTCGACGTGAGGAAACCGAGGGGTGAATTTGAGTTGAAAACGGAAAGTGAGAAGGACTTTTTTTCTTGGGGGGGGGGGTTCCCTTTGGTGCCAGAGAGGATTTCAACGTCAGCCGTGCTCACGAGATGTGTCAAGAATCTGAGCGGGCGGTGGCCGTCGACAAACCAACCTCCCGCCGGTGCAGGGTGCTAGGGGCGACGGGCGGGAATTGCGGGGCGGAAAATGGCTTACCGCCAAAACATCAGCGGATAAAGCTCATCACGAGAGCGCTGGCGAATGACACTGCTACCAAACGAAGCACTGTTCTCTCTATCTTGAACGTACGCACAGGTACGAGTCAAGGACCCGGATCCGTCTTAATGGATGTCGTCTTGCAAAGGTCCACAAATCTAGCCATATGAATCTGGTCGTGCTTTTTTATACGCTGTAAATACGGAGGGCTTGGTTCAAGGTTATATGCGGTATTCATGTGTCATTTGATATCAACTGCCGATAACACTTCTTCATATATTGCTCAGTCCAGATACGTATTGAAAACAGTATGTACGAGACTCGATCCAACCGAGTTAGAGAGCCTTGAACAATAAGCCAATGCTATCGTAAAGTTCCCACAGAAACCCAGTGTTCAGCGATATCCGGCGGGTTGATCTTTCTCAGAAATCACACCGTCCTCCTCAACTTGCTTTCAAGAAATCAAACTAGACCAAACCAAACCAAGCCAACAAACACCACTGTTTCCTTTCAAATTGTAAGTGCCACACAAGCATGTCTTTTGGGGAGAAATTGTCAATGTGGAAGAGAAGAAAAAACCTTTTCCTACAAAGTGGTATCAAGGGTAAAATGCTCAAAGAGGCCGAACCGCTGAACGAGTGAGGGGAAAAGTAAAAATGTGCGAAGGTAGGCAAGGCATTCCTTCTGCCGACCATCGAGGTATGTACAGATCTCGGTGGTCCCCGGTGAGCTCCGGGGTGATATGCACGCAGCATTGTTGGCCACAGATGCTCAATATTTGTTTGGATCGTGATGAACCCCAAAGCCCGGCGTCCTCTTGCTATCTCAGTCAAGGAAAAGTGACGAAAATCCCTATGCGAAACCCATTGACTTCTTCCGGCGGCCAAATAACCTTGACCCGGCGTTGGTCTCGGGTTGCTCAGCAGCGAAAGGCGGCGTGTTCATCGTCGGTGGGGGCCCAGAGCTCCGAAGGAAATCGGCCAGGTCGGAGGTGCCACGCGAGGGCACGGAGACAGCATCGCGAGGCTCAAACCTCTTCATTGGCACGCGCCCACTGGGCCGCGACGAGGACGTGCTGGGTGGCATGCTAGGCGCAGCCGTGGCCGTGCTGCTTGAGCCGTAGGAAGGAAACAGGTCACCACCGGTGGGGATGTTGACCTGGATAGGAATATAGCCCTTGCTAGCTGCCGGCACGCTACCCTTCTTCTGCGACTTGGTGGGGCTCTTCAACCCGTTCGAGTTGCCTGCAGCTGCACTGCTATTATGGTTGCTGCTGTTCTGTCGGAATCTCGACATTAAACTGGGCGCACTGGCCTTTTTCTTGGGTGCCTGTGTAGCCTGTGCAGGCATGGTTTGTGTCCGGGGAAGATTAAAGGGGACAGGGGCTGACTCGGGAGGTGGCGGTGCGCTGTTCAGGAAGTCAATCAAGCTTTCCTCCTTGGGCTGCTGTGGCTTTCTCCGCGGCAGAGGATCGAAATCGTCATCCTCTTCCTCCTCGTCGCTCAAGTCAATGGCATAAGGATCCCGAACACGGTGTTGCTTGCGCTGCGGCATCATATCTGGTTCGTCAAATGGGTTGCCCGACTGTCCCGGCGGCTGTTTCCTTGAAAGAAGAGCGCTCTGAGAGTTGATAGAGGACTGAACAGACGGCGCGGACATTTCGGTGACGTTTGTTGAGGCCTGGCTGTAGCGCGTGTCGTGTATGTCAGGGAGGGTGGCATCCATGGCCTTGCCACCAACGGCCGATTTCAGTAGGTCCGAATCCATGGTTGTGCGGAAAGGCGCCACCGTCCGGGGGATGCGAGGGTTGTTGTTACCAGTGCTGGGTGGGCCGCGGCGGATGAAATCAATCAGGTCGGAGTTGTCGCTGTCATTGTCGACTGTAGCACCTCTGGCCTGCAGACGAGCCCTGCTGACGCTCCCGCCCATCGAAGGACGTCCGTAGTCGAGGCTCATGTTGGCGCTCGGCTTCTGGCGTGGAGTTGTCCGGTTCGCCATGACACTCTGGTTCCGCTTGAGCGGCGTGGGGTTCGCGTCCGCGCCAGAGGGACCAGTTGCACGAATGAACTCGGCAAACTCAACCAGTGATTCACGAGGAACCCTGGCATCTCTGGCTTGAGGCGCAGCCCCGCGAGCCCTGTTTGCCATCGACACAGGTGGAGCTCTCGTCTGGGGCCCTGCTGTCTCGCTTTCGGGCATATCGACGGGATGCGAACTCAATGGCGACAGGCGCGTCACAGACCCTGATCTCTTCACCTCGCCCGACTTGGTCGTAGCAGCTGAAGCAGCTCGGTCCCTTGTTGGCTGGCGAGCATCTTCGCTCTTTCTCCCCTTGCCAGGTACGCCAGATGGTACAGTTCTCGGTGAGCCCTGTTGCGCGTTAGCACCTGGTCAACAAACATTTATGTACTGAACTGCAAATCACCTCTATTTCACGCATGTTCTCCGGCGTCAACGTGTACTGGATGGTCTCGTTGCTGTGTATGAGCTCCTCGAAGTTTCGCGCGACGTCCTCTGGACGGGTGGCCGTGCTATCCTGGGAGCCGCGCGCTGCCCTTACCTTGTGGGAGGACGCAGACGACGATCCGGAGGTGTGTATTTGACGGACTGTGCTCTGGTCTTGCGAAGGGCGCGATGCATCTCCATAGTCACGAGACAGATCAGAGCGGTCCACAGAGACGACGCCGATGGTACCATGCTGAGATACACCACCCAGCGAGTGCCCGTGGCGATGCTGGTTAGTGCTAATGCTCTCCTCCGGGATTGGAGTGCTCGCTGGGCTGTTGGCCTGGGGGCCAAATGACCTGGGAGACCGCCTGGGGTGCCTAGTCGGCGGCGGCGGCGGGTCATTCTCTAAGAATGTTGCGGAATCTGGAGGAGTGCTTAGAGAAGCCAACTTCTGTTGTTCAACAAATTGCTGCTGCTGCAACTGTTCAGGGCTAGCGAAGTGCGGCGCCTGAGCCACCTGCCGCCGAACTGAGCCAAAGAGAGGCTGTGTTGCCTGGGGTTGAGCTTGTGTGTGTTGCCCTTGGTGCTCTTCGTTAACGACAGGCTGTGCTTCAGTTGCTGCCTCCCTTCGAGGTGCTACGACCGCGGAGGGCGCAGGGGTCGGCGGGAGTTTTCGCGTCGCAGATTCTGCCCTTTCCTCGGCCTCAGAAATTGGCAGTGCAACCGTGCTGCGCGGCACGGCTGATGAGCTTGTGACAGGGACTTGGACACCACGGCCGTCTTCGGCGGGCCGCGAGTCCTCCACGTTGGACTGGGTCTGGATGCTGCTAGCCCTCGAGACTTCTCCAGACCGCGAGTAGGAGCTATTGCTTTGCTCCTGAGCCGAGCTCATCTGAGACCTGATGGAAGGGGTCCGTGGACTAGCAACATTCACCAGCCTCAGGGACCCTGACCTGACCGGGAGGGTCTGGACGGATAATGGCGGTCGAGAGCTTCGGTCAGAATTCGCAGGCGAATTACTCCGGTTCGAGATGTTAGTCCCGATCGAAATCCTGGAGGAAGTCAATATCTGGGCCTCCTCAACCTCAAAGTCCGAATCGTCTCCATCATCCTTGGTCTCGACGCGCTCACTGCGATCTGCAACCACAGCCCCTGCGCCAGCTCCTGTGGCGAGCGCGGCGACGGCCCCAACAATCTTGGGGATAAGCCCCGTAGGCTGAGGCTCTGCACCATCTCCATCGACGGGGGGCACCTCAGGGGTCTTGACGCGGTCACCGGTGGCGGACTCCGCGTCCTGATTGTCGATTTCCTCCACAATGGCTGCGCTATGCTCAGTGCCGTCTTCCACCTGCTCAGTTGGGGTCTCGGCCACATCAACCTGACCTGCTGCTTTCGGCGCCTCAGCAGTCTCCTTCGCCTGAGCCGTGGCCTTCCTGCGCTGGTCGGGGGAGGCAGCCGGCGTCGGGAGAGAGTTAGCGCGCTTCCTCGTTGCTCTTGTTGGAGTGTGTGGCTCGGACGTAGGTGTCGGAGGCTCAGCCTTCGTTGCCAGCGGGAATATCATCATGCTCTTGGGTCGTGTAACGGCGTCCAACTCTTGGGGCTCATCTTCTTCCGTCTCTTCGTCGCTGTAGTGCACGAGGCCAGGCACCTCAATTTCATCGATGTCTCTCTCACTCATTGGGAGTGGAACTGCTGCAGGCTGAACGTCATCCTCCTCCGCGGTGGCCCTCTCTGCCAACGATTCTTGGGCCTCTGCGGCAGGGGACTCGGGCGCAGACTCCTGTACCGCGGGTGGTACAGCGCTTTCGGCGGACACGCTGCTCTGTCTGAAATGCATTACCCTCTCTCGCGACAGAGACTGTGGCGACATCTCAGCAGAGCTGTACACAGGATACCTTATCCGTTTCTTCCAGGCCCTCCAGAGCCTGCCCAACGTTCGGTCCAGGGCCACCCTCTCCATGTCGACTTCATCGACGACAATCCTATCCACAACATCCGAACGGCCCTTGATACCATCATTCTGGTCTCTCTCGTAGTTGACACGCATCCGATGCCAGGCTGCCTGGCCAGCAGAAATCAAGGCTTGCTCACCCAGAAACTCGAGAATCGAGGTCAGAAAGATGGCGACCGCAGGGGACACGGCCCCGCTGAGGTTCTCATCGTCATCGCTGAGCAGGCCTTCTTCCATGTGATGGTCCTCGTCCTCCTCTTCCATGTCGCCCAAGGAGGAATAAACCATGCACCTCAGCCTGGTTCGTTTCCAGACGAGCTCCAGGTCCCAGTCTCTTGGCGAAGGCGAGGATTGCGAGTGCAGGAATTCGTCGTCATCGCCGCCGCCTAGGTACTCCCTCAGCTCCTCATCTGCGTTATTGATGGCATCCTTGGCGAGCTTCGGCTTGAGGACCTCAGTGACGGCGGGCCGGAGAGCGGCCAGGGTGGTGGATCCAGACCTGGAGAGAAAGTTGAAGAGGAGGTGGTCAAGGAAGCCGTTGACCAGGCGCAGGGCGGCGAGGGAGACGAGTACGGTCTCTCCCGAGGGCTGGAAACCGTGCTGGTCGTACCATGTATCGGCATGGCTGTCATGGTCGTTGGTAACGATCTGGGAGGCAGCGGAGGCAGCGATGAAGGCAGCCTCTGGCGAAGCGGACAAGGGGGGCGACAGTATGCTCATGGCGGCGGTCGAGGGCCTGTCGCTCGAGATGCTGTGTGTTCTTGACCTGGAGGAGCCAGGTCTCTGGAAGTTGGAAGTCATCTCGGGCGAGTACCGGGACATTCCAGTGTCGAATGGGGACGCCATGTTGAATTATTATTGCTCAGGCGAGGGCGCGGAGGGCATACTTGGGGTGGGAGGGTACAGGCCTGACCATTGACAACAGTCGGGTCCAACGTCCCACAAGGCTGGATTTGACGGCTCGGCAGCGCACCGTAGTCGCGGGGCCGCCAAGGATGGCGACAATGCAAATAGCAGTGAATTGATGGCCAATGGGTGGGCGGAGGGGTCGGAGCGGGTTGTCTGGGACGATTGAAGGGCGTTTGTAGACGTAGGCGGACCGGGCAAGCTGGTCGGCGCAAGAGTTGGTGTAAAAGAATGCGACGGGCACACGGCAAGCTGCTTTGGAATATTAGTGCTGTGCGAGGTGAGCCGGGCGCACTGAAACAAATAGGAGCAGGGAATGGCTGGGCAGCGAGAACCGGGGCTTGTGTGTGATCAGCAGCGAAGCTGGGATTTGGGCTTGTCCTGGATGTCCTGGTCTTCATGCAGAGAAGGGTTGCACTGCAGAAGCCTCTGCCTGGTGCTTCTCGTTCTCGCGTCTTGTAGAGCTGGACTGGCTGTGTGCTGCGCCCAAGGGGGTCCTGTTGGAGAGATGATATGACGGCAGAGGGGGACTTTGGATTTCCATAATTAGGAACAGATGGGGGCGGAAACTTGCTGTGCCTGCTGTGCCTACTGTGCATGTGTGTATGTGTGTGCGTTTGTGTGTCTGTTTGTAGGCAAGTGGATGTGTCGGTGTCCGTACTGCAGCGATCAGAGGGGTGGGGTGGGGCGCGGGGGGGGGGGGGCGGCGGGCGGCAGGCTGGCAGGGTGTAGGCTAGACTAGGAGGCAGGTGTGGGTGGTGGCGGAGGATGAGGCAGGATTGCACGCTGACAAGAGGCGCAGAGGAGCGGCAGGTGCATGTGCAGGAGGAGTGCAGGAGACGAGGGATGAGGGCCAAGGGAGAGGCAGCATTGTAGCGGTGGTGGCGAATGAGAATAGACCAAGTGCAAGGCAACAAGGACGGTTGCAGCGTTGGTTTTCTTCCGTCGCAAGGCAGGATGCCGTCCAGGATGCCGTCCAGGAACCACGAGGGAGCACTAGCCCACCTGCCCAGGTCCTTCGAGCCGGGTCGAGTCGAGTCGAGTCGAGGTTTTGTGTCTACAGTGCCCTCAGCCTCGACCGTCGGCGCTCGTCGGCTCCGCGGAGAGCTTGAAGCTGCGCCCAGGACATTGTCCACATATCCGCCCAACAATGGCCCCGTGGCCTCAGGCGTGTGACAGCGCGGTGGAGTGAGGCATGTTTGTGCGGACGAGGAGGCATCACGACATGACATCGGACGAGGCTTACCTGTTGAGGCCGTTGGGGGCTGTTCAGGAGGGATCCCAGGATCGTGTCGTGCGGTGCCCGAACAAAAGCTTGAGCTTAACAACAGCCCGGGGTCTTGTTCTCGCGGCAGGGTGTAGAGTTCAAGGAGGCGAGACCAAGCGGCTGCTCCAAGGTCGTTGTAGGTATTGGATGGTTGCTGGAGAAAGGAGAAGCTATGGCACGGCGGAAAGGAGGGACGGACGGCCGTTGGAGGTCGGATCGAGGTGTGACGTTGCCCACAAGAAGCATAAAGGGACCTGCTAAGGACTGCCGAGAGAGGAAGAAAGAAAGAAAGAAAGCGAGACGGTCACGTATGTCACGATTGCGCCCTCTTTCTCAGGCCCGTGACAACAAGAAGAAGGTTACGACAGGTGTTGCACCGTGTCGTTGCCGTGTTGAGCTCAGGATTGGATTGAGCAGAACCAAAGGTGACTGACTGACTGATTGACGGGCTGGCTGACTATTGACTGGCTGGATGGCTGGATGGCTGAATGGTTGAATGGTTGAATGGCTGACTGACTGACTGACTGACTGACGGACGGACTGACGGACGGACGGACGACCAACCTGCAAGTCAGTGTGGAGCAGGCCAGGGCATTGATCATCAGAGACGATTCGGATGGAGACCACACCTCCCACCCCACCTCGGCCTGCTGGGCTTCTGGTTTCCTCTACCCTACCTAGGATATTGGCAGGTAGGGTGGTTGGGCCCTGCCGGGTGGATGGCCTCGCTCTGATACCATCTACGGAGTTAGTGCAGCAATCTACCAAGAACATGGCATGTGGGCATGTGGGGCCTGTGCAATACCACTCCCACAGCATAGGGGCGGGCCTGTGGGCCTGGCCAATCCTCCACATCTCCTTTCAATCTTGCCTCCTCCCCTTCCAATGCGACCCTGCAACTCGACTGCCCGTCTAGTATCTACTACTAGACTGCACAGTCAGACAGTATCGTCCCGTTCGACCCGTCTTCGTCACCTGACCTGCACCTTCTCCTGCAGACACTCACTCGTGCAACCTGCACCTGCACCTGTCCCTGCACCTGGCATTCCATCGTCACCAGCCTGCCAGCCTGCCAGCCTGCCAGCCCGAGTGTGGCCATGTCAACATCTTCTTCAGCCATCGCGGCCAAGGAGCAAAATGAAAACTGACAAGCAACCCCAGGACGGCACCTGCAATTGCCCCCCCCCCCCCGTCTGCCATCTGCTCAGCTAGAAATCAACCGCACTGCTGTTAATTTACGCGCTATCTGCTGTCAACCACGCTTCTCGACCTTGACTAGCAGACGCCTCCATTGTGGATTCCAAGACTTTGGGCTTCGTTTCTTCACCCAGGAAAAGGGGAATTGCCCCGGCCAGACCGGGGGCCTCCCTGTTGACGGCTGTGGGCCGGACCCATCTTGCACCGAGACATGCTACTGTTCATCAGTAGTGTACAGTGGTGGCTCCGCTTGACCCAAAACATACACTACTAGTACTCCACCTGGTGCTAATGCCTTCTCGGCCTGGGCAGACGCGCAGACAACCCGACTACTCCGTACCAGACAAGCGGCCACAACCCGTGGTCCCCAGGTCCGCCAGCGATCGAGCCGTATTGGGCGGGGTGACTCGACCCGGGATGCGGCGTGTTACAAACAGCCAGGTCAATGGGGCCTCAAATACTTGGAGTCTCCCAGCTCAAAGTCCGCCAGCCAGCACAACACGGGCGCAATCAACCCTTGGGAAAGGAGCTTGGGAAAGGGGGACCTGCACGCCATTCTCATGACCGGTACCAAAGCCTGCATGCTTAGCGGCCAGCGACCCCATAGCTACCGTCTGCTGTGCCGGTCCTGCGACGGGTCTGCTGCAAGGTACCGGAGCGAGACGGGTAGTTCCCCAATAATTCCAGAGCACGAGCGAGCCTAGTCTTATCCTCGCCCGTGCCAGCAGCACGCATCGGCAGCATCAGCAGCGACAACCTCTTGTCCGCGACCAATGCTATGTGCAGCTCAGGTTTCATTACAATCTCTCGCCTCGCCGGTGCACCCTGTCGGCGGGCAAGAATGGCACGCATTGACGAGTCTGATGTTGGGGATCTTCGGATCTTCTGCCGCAGGGCACCCCAAGAGATCTATTGCCTGTGCAGTCCCGATCATTTTAGCACAGACGCTGCGCGTCACCTGATTGGAGCCACAACTCACTTTCGAAGGGCTCGTGCGATGGGCTTTTTTTTTCCAACAATTCGCTGGCGGCGGCTACTCCGTAACCTCGCAGATGCCAAATGGCGAGCTGCACTGCACCTGGGAAATGTCCCTCCCAGGCTTGGCATGTGAATACGACTTGTAGAGGATAGGCGCTGCGAGTCATCATTCATGACGGGATGGATTGGCCGGGCGCAGAGGCTTGGGGGTGGTCAAAGCACTTCCTGGCTGCTTCCAGCTGGTCAACGCAACGTCGCACGTCCCGTCGAACAGCACCCTTGGCGATCTGCGCTCTGCCAAATGTCGTGGTCGGATTCCGCAGCACAACATTTCGAGAGTCATGGCCGGGGAATGGGTCGCTAGATAACAGGGCCGTTGGCACAACCTCGCTTGAATCAACGCACTGAACTTGGCCGACGCACACCGGTCTCCAGATCTTCATTGCAAGGGCCAAAACGACCCTTTGGTACACAAATAGGAGACGAGCGCATGCGGTTGTTTATGGTTATGGGGACGGGACATCAGAACCACTTGGCTTCCCTCCTAATGTCGCAACCTTGCTTGGGACGTGCAGGCTAAACTACAACTTTGACCAGCTGCTTGCGCTTGGGTCGTCTCCGAACGAACCCAGCAGGCTGGAAAGCTATTTGCCACTAGGCTTGACAAATGAGCAATGGACACGAGCGAACTTTAAAGGTGCTGAATCTTAGAGAAACCGGTCCCTGATGCGACCTCAAAAGGACCCGTCTTACTTGCGACAGGCTCACGACGCAGGCATGCTTAGGTAGTAGGGTAGGCGAACAACCTATATCCCTTCGGCATATAACGACTATACTGGCACGGAAAGCCGCGCCTTGTCACCGATTGGCTATTGCCACCTACTGTCCATCTCATGGCTTGCCGGGCTTACGGGGGGAATGCTCTCTCGATCTGTGAATCAGGACCGAAATCGCAGCTCGCGCTCATTAGCAGTCGAGCACGGCGGCTCACGCCTTTGTTGCAGATCGTCGGACGCAACCTGGGAATTTCCGTTAGCCTGCTGACGGCAGGATCGTCAGCCTTGTCACTGAGTCTCTCTTCCAAGTCCCGGGACCCACACCCGCTTCGGTCACTAGCACCTTGGCGCTGCTGCACCCGTCTTCCGGCACGCATACGTGGGAGATTGCCACCAAGACGGGAAACGCATCTTTGAATCGCGTGGGCCTCGCTTTTATTCTTGCTCAGATACCAGCAACCACAATTAGCATCAGTGTCAGTATCGGGGTTAAATGGGGCATGCGAAAAACAACCTGCGCCGCTACTGTTCCTGTCTCAGATGTGATTTCCGGGTAAGCCGTCCGGGTCATCGGCATCGCTCATTGGAGACGTTGCGGGGAGCAATACTCAACCGGTATCTCAAGGTCACATTCGGCCTGGATATGTTTGGACCAGCCACCTTGACTGCCCCTTTGTTTTGCGCTCCTTGTGGCTGCGTCGAGTAATCTGAACTGCCTATTTCTGAGCAGGGCGAGACCGAGAGCGCCGCAGCCGACAAGTGCCGGCTACGTTGCGCCAGAAACGGGCGGGCGTGGGCGTTGTCTGCCAAGGGGCGGGATATACAGCATACATATAGAATTCATCTTACTTTTTTTTTATTCAAAATATTATAATATAATTCAACGTTTACCTTTATAAACAATATTCTACTAAACTATTACAACTAAAATAATTAAAGTTAGTTTATAATACTTTTTATACCAATACCATTTAATATAATTATATATCTTACTTATAAGCTACTCCCTCATTCATTAGAACTTCACCGCATCTCGGTGTCCCTGTTACACTAGGGACCCCTAAATAGAAAAGGATTTTCTTTTTGGGGATCTCTGGGTCCGAGTGGACATTAGCCCTCTTGGCCCCTCCCGTCTCCCTATGCTCGCGTTCTACCACCTGTTGGCCCTGCGACCTGGCAACGCACGCAGCCTGTGTGCGTTGTGTACCCGTGATGTGCTGTTCACCCGCAGCGCGGTGGGAAAGCTGGCCGCCGACCTACCGCACCGCGTCTCGGCCCCTGATTTCCATGTGGCTGGGTTTGACCGCGCGCGCGGGAAAGCAAAACCTCGCGGCAATTTTTTTTTTCTCGCACACGTTTACGAGCCGTTTGAAATGACGGGGAGCCGATGTCTCTCGGAATGCAAAAAGACGAGTCGATCAGCGGCTCAGCTCACGTGGTGCTGGGATTTTACAGGCAGCTGGATCCTTGCGGTTCGGGCACAAGCCGGAGGGAGAGGCAGGCAGTCATAGCACTGGCACCCGAGATCAGCTGTCGACGCTGCTTGTTTTGCATGCCCCAAGACCTCGGAGCTATTCGTGGACCTCCCTCTACGTGAAAGTGGATAGCCCGATGCAGGACGCAGCCTGTGCTGATCAAGGACATCACCGTAAGTCCCTTGGATTTGCAGGGCATGTCAAAACCTATCACCTTGTTGTCAGCTGAAAGCTGGGCGGAGAGGCTGGAGTTCCGCGGGCGGTGACACATGTCCTGCACGATTGCGCCTCAACCCATGACCGGCCTCACCACGCATCCCTGGGATTCCTGACCGGTTACGCCGAGTTATGCTGCTGGGAAAGCGCCGGGGCGAGCAAGGTTCACTGGCTTACTCCCTCTGTCACTCATAGACGGAACATGTCTCCTAGGCCACATCGGCACATCTCCACGACAGTCGCTGGCTTCGGTGTCGTCGGTGCATTTCAAGTATGCAATGCGATCAGTCAGCCTGCCAGCCAGCCTGCGTACTCTCCGCCAGGTGAGCGAAAACCTACACCGGGCGAGTCACTACCATATGAGATAAAGTTCATTCAGCTGCTCGCAGCAGTTGACGACGTTGAATAGGAGCTCGTTTTAGTAACCGCCGTCACACGTGGTAGACACAATGTCATCAGATTGTGGGCCTATAGCGAGATCCACAGATCCTGCATACAAGGCAGACATTATACCTAGCCTCGTCAGATTGGCTGATTGAATGTCTTCCTGAGACATTGCCTAGCTGCGCTTGTTGGCCCGGCTGGAGCACCATCTTCCCAACACCGTTGGCATACAACCACAGCGATCGTGGCTTGTCAGTGGCTGGAGGTCTTTCTGTGCAGCAGGAACATTCCCCCGTGCGCATTTCACCTGTCGGCCGTACACATCACCCGACGGCCGGGAATCTCAACATCTAGGTATTTAATCGTGCCTTCGGATAAAAGCGTTGATGTGTCTGCAAACCCCCTCAGGGAGCCGTCTATATCTCAACCATGGACTACAGCGGCTTCATCTTCGAGCCTGCTGACGATAACTATGTGTACATGCCATGCCTCTACACGCACCGATGACCTTTAATAGCAAGATAGCCACAGGAAAGTTTTTCTAATCCCACAAGTGCTCAGCCGTGTTGCCATGGGTCCCGCTGCCATAGCGATGCTCCTCTAATTTCAGACCGTACGTGCTGTCTCATCTGGCCAGATGATAATACCTGGGCGCCTCACAGAGCCAATAAACATTCCAAATCCCGAAAACCTTTCGAAGCACGTGAGGCGCGTGAAATGCTGTAGCGCGCTTTGATCAACGCAGGCGGACACACTTGAGCTGTGGGCGCGCAATATGACGGGGATATCAGTTCTGAAGTTGAATAGCGACCGAGCTTCACAGATGCTTATGACAAAGGAAAGCAGGTTTCGGTCATTGAGTTGGTTGAAAGGAATGTCGTGACATGATGTCGTCATCTCATGGGTTCGTAAAAGAATCGGTCGATAATGCCGAAGATGCGGGAAATGCGTGCTGTGCTCCCGCGTTCCTAGTATTCCTTCGAGCTGCGCCAAGGCAAAATGATTCCCAGCCCCAGCGTGGTGAATATCCAGCCAGAACGCCTATAGAATTCAAGGGACAAAGGCTCAAGCGTCCATGTCCAGATCGTTTATGCCCCACCGAGGGGCCCTATCCAGATAGGTCGATCAAAATGTTTCCACAATATGTGGCATTGGGAGCGAGTAATGCCCAAATGGTGATGTATTTTTAGGCATCCGTCATCACCGTATCACTCTGATTGTCATCTTCTTCATCCTCTTGAGGACCCCAGTTGCCCTCAAACACGGTAGCACCAGCACGGCGATGAGTAGTGACCCATCTGACAGACTCCACGTCTAGCACTTGTTGAATAGAAGGGCGCTGGGAGGGCTCTGGGGCAAGCATCCACTGAACGATGTTGTCGAGCGAGTCAGCATGGTCGGGGTTGACCATAAAATGGGGAGGGTGTTCGAGCTCCACACGCCTTGGATTGCCAAACAAATTGCTGGCGTCATGGGTAGATGAGGCTGAGAAGTCGAATGGGAAGTTTTGCGAACATGCCCCGCCAATAGTGTGTTCGTCTTGAGGGAGTGGAGAGACTCCAGTCGTGGTGTCAAGGTCCCCAATGATGGGCATTCCTGTCGCATCTCGGACGAGAGCATCGGCTTCGCTCCCAGTCAGAGGACCAGTCGGGACAGCAGAGAAGTTGCCCTCGCGCAATGCTAGCCAGTGAGGCCCATTGTCGGGAAGCCAAACGTTGCTGGCGATCTCAAACATTATCAAGCCAAGAGCGAAAACGTCGGCAGGCTTGTCATATTTTCCTTGAAGGATCTCCGGCGCGATGTAGCGTCGATCGCCTTCACCTTCGATGCCACGAGCTGCTGGCCAAGCAGCCGCCAGGCCAAAGTCCCCAATTTTGAGGCTGCCCTCGTAGTTGATCAGTATATTTGCCGGCTTGATATCAAGGTGAATATAACCAGCTTCATGGATGCTTTTAAGGCCCTGTTGAAATTTGTTAGCGGCTACATCCTGGACTCGGGCACTTGAGCCACTCACCATGCTGGCCTCGACCAGGATTTTCCAAATCCTGAAGTCATCCAGGCGGCCTGCAGAGCCGACGTTTCCCAGAAACTCAGAAAGGCTACCTTCCTCGCAATATTCCGTTTGGATGTAGAGATGGAATTGCTTCTCCCAGCTCTCGACGTACTGCAGCACGTGGGGAAGGCCCCGAAGGGCTTTCAGTACGCTCACCTCCCTGAGCTTAGACTCACGATCCTTTGCACCGAAGAACGGAAGGCGTGTCTTCTTCACAGCGAACACACGAGCCTGCGACGGCGTTGGTGGTGTACCAGGAGTGCCGCTTACGGATGCCAGTGACTTCTGTTCGCTATTCTCTGTCGCCTTGAAGACCTGAGAGAACTCCCCCTTTCCAATTAGTTCCACGTGGTCGAAAACAGAATTGAGGACCATGTCAACATCGCTTGGGCCGTGACCGTTGATGGGCGTTATGCTCATGCGCCGGTCGGCAAACCCAAAGTGATCAACATGTCTTGAGGTTGGAGTCGCCGGTGGGAACGATCCAAATGTCGTGTTGCCCGGTGCTTCATGGTTAGAGATGGAGAGAGAACTGGGGTCGGGGGGCATGAGGTTGCTGTTGCTGCACGGAGTCTTGGGGGAGTTGGCTCTGAGATTGTCCAGAGGTCCTAATGGGCTGGCTGTAACCACGCAGCTTGTTTCAGCAAACTCAACTTTCCTTTGGCTCGAGAGGGTTGGGGTGGTAGAACGAAGCTTGAGCGGCTTGGGGGTCAGATGGGAGCCTTGACGGGCCCGAGAATCCCCAAAAGAGAGGATGGATTTTGGCAATGGCGAATACAGATCGTCTCCAGGCGCAGCAGTGGTATTGGCTGCCCTCAAGAACGCTCGATCCGCACCGCTCGGGGCTGTTGCGCTCTTCCTGAAAGGTGCAAACTTACACATTGGGTCGGGTGTTGGGCGACGGTCGCGGAAGCCAACCGCAGAAACCGGAGCTGGCATTGTCCTCGCGAAAGGGGTCTCGCCTACTGCACCGACCGATCTGGAATTGCCCAAGCTTCTAAACAGAACGGATTTGGTTGGCGTGGGAGGGAACTCGATATCAGCAAAGCTCTGGGGGTCGATGTCCGAATCGAAGTTGAAGATGCTGCTCTTGCGAGTATGGCCAGATTGGAGAGGTCTGAACAAGCTAGCCACCTTGTCAGGTTCGCCGAGGACGAAGTTGTTATCTTTGCGTCCTGGGGCAAACGGACTGGACGGCGAACCGAAAGAGTGACGATGGCGTCCCTTGCCGCCGCCAGACGAAGGTGGATACGTGTTTGAAGGGTAGATTGGCTTCTTGCATGGGGTGTCGGGCATGACTGCTTTCGACCCACCAAACGAAGGATCCTTCTCTGGGTTGCGGTTCACCTTCGAGATCAAGCCCGTCGACTTGAAGGCATCCTGAAGGGGTCTCGCAGATTTATAGGCCGGAGTCGCCGTATTCCTGCTACCACCATCGTGGGCGGGCCGCGCCCCTAGAGGGAGGGACTTCGCGAACGGATGAGCTCTCGGCTTGTCGAACTGAACAGGAACGTGAGTTGGAGATTCGTCTGCGATGCTCGAGTTGGAGGAAGATGTTGTGAGCGATCGCGACAAGGGATGCGGCTGCGGCGGAGCGTTGTGTCGGTCCAGCATGTGCAGCGACGGGTTCGGCAAGGGCGGCTGCGCGGAAAAAGGGCTGTCGCGGGACAGGGCTGGTTGTACAAATTGATCCAGGGACACACGCGGTCTGTTTCGGATATTGGGAGTTGACGCTTCAGCGCCAATTTGCGCCAGGTGCTTTTCGCCCTGCCGTCGCCCCCAGGACGATCTATCGTCCTGCCGTTGCTGAAGAGTTGACTTGCGCAAGGAGTCGGAGCGGCGTGGCATCGCGGCTGGCGTTGGCGATGCCAAGTTGTCTCGGAATATTGATATCTCGCTCTCCAGCTCGTATTCCTTGTTTCGATCCTCGTGGATCTCGAAATATTGTGGGGTTGGGGATGACGCGTCAAATATGTCGGAACCCTCTACGGGGAAGTTTGAAATCCCGTGCAGACTGCGACGCTTCGCAACCGGATTGTCCACATGTGCCTGGTCGGGATTCATGGCCGCATCGCTGCGCTTCAATGGACTGATTGAGTTTGAGGGTATTGTATCGGTCTTGAAATCGAACAGACGAGGGAAGGTGTTTTTGGAGGCTCCAGACACGTCGAGATGCATGGAGTGACGCGAGTGGTGCTTCTCGGAGCTCTTGCGTGAAGTGGGGCTCACGGTCATCGGGAAGTTTCCAAAGAGGTCGTTCTCCTGGCCCGTCAACGGATCCGCGGCAGGCGGTGAAGACGAGAGTGTCGAGTTCCCAGAGTCTGTTGTGTTGCTCAAGGCTCGCTTGATGGGGCTCTTAGGGGACACGCGATGAGTTCTCGAGATGGGCTTCGCAGATGCGGCCTTCGGTTTGCCAGAGCGCAGGGAGAGCTTCACACCAGCTCGGAAGGGTGTTGCAAGGTTGGACTGTGAGTATTGATGTGACAGATGAGGGGCCGATGCCGGTGGCATGGGACGTTGAATGACACGACAGGGCGATGGTGAATTTGGAGATGAGAGAGAGCCGTCGGAGCTCTGAGATGCTGCCCTCACAAGGTTGAATTTTGAAGGCGAGCGGGAGATGGAGCGTCTCAACGAGCGCACCGCAGCGGTGACATCGACGTGATGGACGCTATTTGGCGAAGGAAGGGTGAGAGTGCCGCCGCTGCCGTTGGAATACGACATGACTTTCGATGTAAAAGTGAAGAACGGATTCTAGGCTTCGTCGCAGTAAGGAGTATTAGTGATGCAGAGTAAAGAGCACACGCTTCCGGTCTGCTGTGGTTGATTCCCAGGGGGCAGTAATGCGACAGGCAGAAACCACACCAGTTCAGGCAACGGAATAAACAGTAGCCAGCAAAGTCGGCCAATGTGGTGAAGAGAGGGTCAAGACGAGGAAGCCGATCGGACTCGGACCATTTCGAAGACGTTCAGCGTCTTGCCCCGGGTGGCGATATTTTGATGACTGCTGACAAAGTAAAGCACCTTGCGCGCCGTAAACGGATGAAGGGGAGGCTGATCTGGTGCGATTCGACACAGATGGTCAGGGCGGCAGTCAAGGCAGAAAATGATGAGGTTCCGTTTTAGCCTGGCTGCTTGCGATCAGGACGACAGCCTGGCTCAGGGTCCAAATGGGGAGGCGGAGGGGGCGAGTAGATGCGACTCGACGAGGTGCTGTGGTGTAGCAGGGTGTAAGAATGGCAGACTCTTGGTGTCTGTTGAAGCAGTGGCGAGTCACGACAAGGGGTTTCTTTTCGACCGTCTCGTCGGTGTAAGTGAGGGTCTTCGCGATATGAGGTGGAAGTAGCACGTCACATGTGTCTGTGCCGCAGTAGGAGCGTCCGTGATCGCGATCGAGATGGGATGGGCTTGGAGGTGTGGTGCGCAGGTAGGAGGAGTGACAGGATGATGGGTGTATGGATGGGCGGGCGGGCGGACGGATCCAAGTGTGGTGCAGGCGCAGGAGGTGCAGGAACAGGTGGGCGGTGGTGGCAGAGCAGGCTAAAAAGTGACAGCTTCCTTGCAAGTGTGCCTGGCGTGCTGGCGTGCTGGCGTGCTGGTTGTGTGGCTCTCTCTGTCTCGACGCTCCTGCTCACTCTGCAGCAGAGGAAGTCGCGTTTCTTGTTTACCCCTTTCCTGATTTGGAAGCAACATTCGCGGTCGCCAGACGCGTTTTTGTGGGGGCTGTTGCAAGGCGGTGGGCGCACAACCCCTGTCGTCTCCCCCTTTGGCATGTGTTCTTGGCCTGCATGACATGGCATATCCCTCCCAAGATTCGATTTCCCCATCAACCCTTGACATCCCGGCAGCTTGTTTACCATGATGACTACCTACTTAAGTGCCTACGCCCTGCTGCTACCACCTGCTAGAAATCTCCAGCATTCAGCAGTTTGGCATCATGCTTATAGTATACCAAGTCTCCGGACCATCCAACCCCCCCCTTGTCATCATCAGAGCCAACCCACAGGCGCTCCCTTGTCCCCCTCCCTCTACCTCTCCCTCACTCTCTTTTTTCCCCTGCATACACCGGATTTCTCTTGTCTTCAGATGGATATGAACATGGACAGTTGTCAGCCAGGCTGTTTCTAAAAACAGCCAGTCCCGCTCTTGTTTCGAACGACGGGTGGTCTCGGCCTGGTGTAAGAGGGTGAGACCATCCAACATCAACAATAACAATAACAACACCAACCCCCTCCTTTTCCTGGGGTGGCGGTATTGCCGCATCCTCAGGACCCTCCCGTAGCCCTCCGAGGTCCCTGGGCCCCTCCTCTGGGGCCCTTCTCAGGGTCTGAGGGTCTCCTCCGTACCCCGTTCAGGCCGACAAGGAGCAAGATGGACTCGAAATACTGGGCCCATGGGCCCGGGTCGTAGCCTGTGTGTGGAGCAATTAGGCATGCCTCCCTGCCCAATCAATCACGCGCCCTGGAAGTGGCAACGTGGGATTGGGTGCATGTCAATGGACGCGGGCCCATGCCCAGATCGCAATTCGGAAGCACAACGCTTGCTGAATTGTCACGGAGCTTCCTCCCGCGGCACTCCTAAGCAATGACGCGAAGTCGTGAAGCTTAAGCGGACCATGGACAACTGTACGACATGCAGACCTCAGGGTCTTCTGACTGAGACGTGTGCCCCGAGGAGTTGAGGACCCTTGATTATTGACAAATGCGACATCATCGCGACCCTCGTCCATCGGGGCCGGCTTGGGCATCGGCCACGTCCATTTTTGGCAGCTTCTTGTTAGGATTTCATGAAACTCTGTGCTAATGAGCCACACGAGGCCACGTTGCTGACCCTGAGCCCTGGCTGTCCCTGACTGCCATGCGCGCATCTCACGCGCATGCATGACAATGACGGCGTCGAGATGATGCCACACGAGGCGACGAGAATATTCTCTTGAGAGCCCAAAATTAGGTTCAGTACATCGTCAGCCCAGCTAGCCAGCTGGTCCGACAGTCCGAATTGCCTCTCGGAACTCAACAATTGCGAGGAGAACTTGTTGTTAGCCTCAAATATGGATTCGACTCGGCGCCGATCAAAACAAACAATGCATCATCGCCTTTCCACACCCCCAGCTTTGCACTCTCTCCGTCCGTCCCTCCTTCCGTCCGTCCATCCAACCACGCCCAAATTCGCGCATATGCGTTGCATGCATTGGCATCACATTGCAATTTTGCCACATTCATGCTCATATTCTTTGGTCCTGCTTCGTGCGCCTCTGTTGTCATCACTCCCTCCCCTTCTCGGTCCGCAGCGCAGCCAAACCCCCTTCCCCCTTCCCCCAGGCGAAGGGTCCCGTCCTGCCCCAGTGGGTCCCGCCCGTACAAATCGACGAACAAGAGTCCCAGTGGCACGCGGCCGTCCCCAGTCTTCTTTGCTCATCAGCCTGGGGTCCAGCGGCCCGTCCCCCTTTTCCTTACCTAGGTACCGACCGATTCAGCTCCAACGGCTCCGAAGGACAACGCACGAGTTCGGGCGGCATATGCACTGACCACCTCGTCTTCACATTTAAAATTACGTTCCATTATTGACCTCTCGCCTGCAAAGTTGCCGCGCACTCTATTGACTTACTCTGTGGCTTCGCATAGAAAACAAAAGGGGGTATCATTTCTTCAAGACCTATCAAATCGGCCCCTTCATTTCCGAGTGGCTTGTCTGAACAAGTCCTCGGCCATGGCCATCTTTCTTGAGCTGTCAGATCCAGAACTATGTCCTCATATTGATGAGGTCTTCGTTTCCCGAGCCTCCGCGTCGGCTTGCTCTCGCTATGTCACAATATACAACGTAAAGCCAGGGTCAGAATATTCAAGTCTGACGACCTGATTCACCTAGCTTCACACAGCTCTTGAGACTCCGGCTCCATGTTGGCTGTGTTGGATCGGAGCCGTCAGAGTCGCTTCCACTGTTGTTGAAGTAGGCGCGTTCCGGGCCCATGGGTCAGGGCGCAACGTTGATTCGTATCCATTCACACCAGAGGCTAATGTCCTCGAAGAACATCAGCAGCCGCCCCAGGCGCTCCTTGCCCCACGCCGGGTTCGGCGCCGCACCCTCGACGGGGCTGCCCCTCTCGTCAATTACCCGGCCCTCATCATCGACGATGTTACACGACTCAACCTGAACCACACCGTTGCGCTCGATGTCGATCGTGATCTGTGCCAGCCGGCCACGGTAAGGGAACACGACTTGTAGCTTGGGGTCAGGTTGGGGGTGGGCGTTCAATGTGATGTCAATCTTGACTTTTCGCTCATCTGTGGGCGCCGCGGTGGTGACCTGCTCGCCCTGCTGAGCTTCCGTGACCGTTTTGTCCTCGTTAATCCAGGCGTCGAAATCGTCTGCCTTCGCGATGACCGTCCTGGCTGCTTCATGTTCATCTGCCACGGTCTTTACCGAAGCAAAAGGCCTCTCCTCCCCGCCACTGATTGCCTTGTCGAGGAGAATCTGAAGGAAAACGTACTGGCGCAGCGTGGGAAGCATCGCAACCAGCTGCGACGGGTGAGAGAACGGTAGCTCGGTCAAGGCTTGCCCGTAAACAGGCTTATGTATGAACAGCCGGTTCTCATATGTCTTGGGAGCCGGGGTCTTGTCCTTGGTGAATCCCTTGACCAATTTCGGCGCAGCGATCACCCTTGGCTCGGCTGCGTTATACTGAGGGCCAGGAGGGAATATGAGGCTGTCAAATGTGGGCATATATGGTGGCGGGTCGCCAACAGGTGCTCCCGTCACATGTCGCATCTCTATCCACACAGTGTATGGAAGAGTGACAGGCGGGTCGAATGCCGCTATAAACATGACATCAGGTAGTTTTGGGCCCGACAGCCCCATCAGTCCGTCGTGGGCTTCCGAGCTGTCGACTCCAGGTATGATGCAGTCTGGTGGTTGTTGCCAATTCAGCATGGGCTCTTGCAGTCCGTCTGTGGCTGGCAGCTGGATGTCATCCGCCAGCCACTCGCTGGACACTCTGACAGGAGCAGGGTAGAGGGGATCCCTTTGCGCGCAACCGATGAGGATTCCCCAGGTCTTGGGGCTCTTGTTCTTCTCTTTGGCTTGCTCGCTGTGGGGGATGTAGAGCCTGCGTTCGCGCCAGTAGTCCAGTGACATACCCACGTGCCCTCTCTCGTGCATGACTGGTCGGCCGTTCCGCTCACACATCGCGACGACTCTGATGTGATCTTCACCATTCGTACTAAGCTCTGCATCTTCATGGAGTCGCTTGGCATCCCACTCGTGTAGTTTTTCCAGGCTCTCGTACAGTCCGGCCACAGCGTCGTGGGTCAAAAAGTGAGGCTTCAGGGCCTTGTCCATGACGCTCAGCTTATCCAAGGCTGTGAGCCGTTCCAGATTTGCGGCAAACTTGTCGAGAGTCTTGGTCCACGGGTGTTGACCGGGTGCCAATTTCAGGTCATCTAGGAGAATTGCCTCGGCTTTGCTTGCGTATTTCGTCACGGAGTCCTTTGAATTTGTGAACTCCAGACCGACCGTCTGCACAACGTGGTCTTTCATGCCAATTTCCAGGGTGAAAGTAGCACCTGCAATGACGAAAGTCTTCATGTTTGGACCGGTGTCTTCCCACAAGGTGTCGAGGCCAACCTTCTTAGTCAGTCGTTCCAGGCCCTCGTTGCTCACAACGCCCCTCTTTTGCTGCGACACGATCAGTCTGTTTTGTGCCAATGCAATAGTATGGTGTGTGCGAAATCATACCCCCAGAATCTGTATCACGTCATCTAGCCTGTTCTGCCTCTCCTCATCTCCACTGGGTCGCGGCATGCCCATTGATGTGATGCCCATATTGTCCACTAGGGACGCATCGAAACTAGCCATGAAGGCTGCGGCGGATGGGCTGTCGAAGTTCATAGCTGCGGCACCATGCTGGCTGTTGCTCCCCATCAAGGTACCGGTAGTCGCAGGCGACTTCTTAATCTGCTGCGGAGACGATCTCGGACCGTGAGGAGAGAAGGCGTGAAGATTCGAGTACGGAGTGGAGGCAGACGCGCCGGGGGTGCCAGTTGCGCCATGGTGCGATTGTTGGGGGGTCTTTCCCTGCTGCGACGGGGCAGGTTTCATTGACTGGGGAGTAGCCATCGTGTTGGCCTTTCCAGATAGAGAGCTTCTGGAGGAGCGGTTGGGCGGGGATCGATGGTCGCTCTTTGGAGGTCAAGTCGAGCTCTCAAGATACCTGAACGGTCAGCGAGGGCCTCTCATTGTCAGTTCTATCAATTGGAAATATCTGTTAATACGCGGGAACAGTGAGTGCAGGCGACATTGATGAGCGCTACAGCGGCGAATGGTGTTGAGGCAAGTGAAGTTGATGACGGAGTTGTAGTGTTTGGACAGCCGGAGCCGAAGGAGCTGGCCAGGTAATACAGCTCCGGCAGGCAAGAGACTGGAATCGGTTCCTATAAGTATAGAGGTTCTTCCAATAAGTCTTTACCGCTAAGGAGTAGGGGTCCCCAGTCTAAAAATCTATCCTTATAGTAATACTACTTAAAATTACTAATCTATTAAAGATTAATTTTTTATTTTATAAAGTATACTATTATAGTATATATTAAATATTTAAATTTCTAATTAATTTTATTTTTAATTTTTTTTAATATTACTTTTATTAAATTATACTTAATATATATTATATAGCTTAATAAACTCTTTTTTATTTAATTTATTCTTTTTTTAATATATTTATTATTATTTTAATACTTAATTATTTATTAAATATATTAAGGGATTTTTTAATAAAGGTTTATAAGTAAAGTAATTTAAAGTTTATTTATATTTTTATTATATTATTTTTATTTATAACTTTAATTTAAGAGTTCTTTTATATATTATTCTCCTCTTTAATTTAAGTTAAATAGACTTAATTATATTTAAATTAAAAATTTCTATATTAAAGTAAGTATTTAATTTAATAAATTAAAAACCTTCTTTTAAATAAAATAAAAATATAATAAAACTTTATTTTTTATATAATTACTTTTAATTCTATTTTTATAAATAAAATAAGTTTATTAAGTAGAATATACTTTTAATAATAATATTAATTAACTTTTTATATTTTAATTTATATATTAACTTATTAATTTCTTTTCTTACTTTTTAATATATTTATAAATTTATAAACTTTTTTATAAGTAATAATAAAATATTTATTTTTATTAGTTTATTACTTTATTTAATTAAGTAGTTTATTTTAAATATTAAATACTTTTAATATTATTTTAACTTTTTTAAAAAAGAATTTTAATTTATTAAATATAATAAAACCCTTCTTTTTTATAAAAAGTAAATTTAAAATATAAATTCTAAATACCTCTTTTAATATTTTTAAATAGTTAGTTTAAATACCTTTTATTAAACTTACTTTAAATTTAATACTTTCTTTTTTAATATATAAAATAATTAATATTTTATTATTTTAAATTACATTTTTAATCTTTTAAATTTTAATATTAATAATTTAAGTATTATTATAAATAAATAATTTTTATAATTTTATTAAAATTAAACTTTTATTAGTTTTATTTTTAAAACTCTTTTTTAAAATAATATAAATAATATTTTTATTAATATAATTATTTAATTAATTAATAATATTATTATTTAAAACTTTCTTTTATTTTAATTCTTATTAATAATCTTTAAAACTTCCTTTTTTAATTTTTTAAGTAAGTAATTTATTTATTTATTATTTTTAATATATATATTAAAATTATAAATTATTAAATTTATAATTAAATTTATAATTAATTACTTTATATTATATATTTTATTAAATATATATTAATTTATTAATTTATTTTTAATTAAATTATATTAATATTTAATTATAAAAGAATTAAAATTTATAATTAAATAATAATTAAATACTTTATAATTAAAAATATTAGAAAAAAAGTAATAAAAAAAGTTTTTTAAATTAAAAAGAAATAAATCTTTAAGTTTTTAATAATATTTTAAATTAATATAATTCCCCTTATAAAAAACTAGAAATTAAGGGAGTATAAACTATCTAGATAAGGGCTCTCTACTCTTTAGCGATAAAGACTTATTAGAAGAACCTCTATAGAGCATATAGAGTCCCACAGCTACTATAGTTTATAATAAGCTCCCTAGGACTATATTATAAGAGAAATATAAAAAAATAAAGCTCTTAAGTCTTATTTTAAATTTAAAATTAAAGTTTAAAATTTAAAATATAGAATTAAAAATTAAAAATTAAATATATAAATTATTTATAATATTTAAAATTTTAAACTTTTTTAATATTAAATTTATTAAAAATAAAGGTTTTAAAAATAAATTAAATATTATTTAAAATTTAAATTATTTAAATATTATAATTATAATTATTAAATAAAGGTACTTTCTTTAAATTTACTATTAGTTAGATATCTTACTATTAGTTAGGCTTGTAATATCTAGATTAAGTAGGCTGTGGTTGTGGGGAGGGCTAGTATATGCGTGCTTTTTATTAGGGCCTGAAAGTCTAGTTCATTCATCATGTAGCCATGAGCTTGAACGCCCATGTTTCCCTTTCCCGTATTTGACTACTTCATAGTACTGTTCGAACTGGGAAGATAAGCGGGAAAGCAACACCTGGTAGTGCACGGAGAATTGAACACTTAGATGCCGCCGTTTTCCGTTTCCTCAAGTACTCCTTCTCAAGAGCCACCATACTATTCATTTTTAAAGCAGCATCTCTACCTCGTTTGGTGCACAATCAGTAATGCAATTAGCAGGCTAGAAAGCTTGTGGGACAGCAGATAGACTGGGGTACGTGTGGCTGCGCATGTCTTGTAGAGCCCTTCACCACAGAGGCGGCCATTGGCCACTCGGGATATTTTTTGGCACATGCAAGGCCTTTGGTTCGCGTTGTCTCTATGCTCCATTTTGAGAATGTCATGATCCCACATAGGTGAGGTACATATGTAGGTCCTCTTCGTGTGTGTGCCTGAACAGCCTCGGTGTCACCACGGCCACATGCGTCGCAATCTAGTGCCTTCCAGACATAGCATTTAGGTATAAAGATTTTCCACGACAGGCCCAACCGGCATATTGTATATGGGCCACTTGTGAAGGGCCGAGGGCATGGACTGTGTCCCACTCAGGTCGCCCAGGTGCCGTGAGACCGAGTGCAACCTCGCTACGATGCGCTGGATTTTGCTTCCTGCGGATCCGCCCCTTTCTTCCTCCTGAACAATAGCCTTTCGGCAAACATGGCCAGTGATGCGGAAGATATCAGTCGGCGATTTGTCACTGCGGATCAGAACCAAGATGAACAGGGCCCCGAACCTTGACCGACGAGGTGGGCAGGGCCGTATGAGTGGGTCGAGTGATGCGCATGCATCACTCCTCATGTGACCGGCCATGGTGTACTGAGTACGCAGGTACGGTGGTAGATGGCCAAAGTTTGTCTCTGGAAACCTGTGGCTGCGCGCGCGCCCCTGACCCGCACGATGTGAAAGAGACATTAGTACAGTATACAGCCTGCCAACCTGCACATCGGACATTTGATACTGGATACTGGATGTTGCCGACGTTGGGCAGCAATGTCACGCGGCAGCAGGCCTGCGAATGCGACTCTGGCCACCGTTTTTTTCGGTCGGCTCGGTAGCACAGAGGAGCACAAGAACGCCAGGGAGGGAAACGGAGTTGTGACGGATGAGGGAGATTTGCGTCGTGTCCCCGGCTGTTCAGTGGCCTTCAAGGGTACTACGGCATGTCTGTCGGGTGTCTGGACCCGGGCACCATCAGCCCGGGCCGTCCGTCATCGGGTGTGCCAGAGTCACCGAGTCATCGTGAGTAGCATCCCCGGCACACTCTAGCTTTCGATCAGTCGAACGTTGAAGGTTGAGGGGTTGTGTTGGGTGACGAAATAAAACTGAGAACCATGGTAGCGCTGGTTCCGGGCGGGTGCAGGTCAGGGTGCTTTTGCCGCGACGGCGTCCGTCCAGGCCCCGGGCCAGGCACGACCACGCATGGGGCGCACGAGGGATCCGGCTGAGCGAACCCCCCTCCCCCCGGGAGATTGTCACTCTTTCCACAAGGCTGAGGGCGGTCCACCCAGCTGCCTAGCTGCCCTAGCAGCCTACCTAGGTAGTTGACACCCACCCTCCTGCCTTGGCAGGTCCAACACTGAGGTGAGGCTGAACAGATGAGACGGCCAGGCTAGCAGGGTTCAGAGCGAGACGGCGTCCCCGGGGGCCCTCAGCGTTGTATTCCCGCTGCCTCGCATGAGCTCACGATCACGGGTTCCCCCACCTACCCCCCTCGTGGGCGTCCCTGGCGTCCCGACGCCTGTTCTTCTGTTGATGCCCAACCCTTGCCACTCGGATGCGGGGGGGGGGGCATGCCCTGCCCGGCACGGTGGAGGTTGTGGTTCTGTTTGAAAGATCCGAGGCACGTTTCCCTTGTTCAGAGAGAGGGGTACTGAATTCAAGCCGAAACGATGTCAGGCAAGCCACGCATTTCGTTTAAGTCAACCCGTCCCAGCCTTTGTCCCCTCTGGAGGGGTCCTGATGGGTCTAGTTCCAACACAGTGTTCCGGTTCCTGCATCTCTTGGCATGTATCCGTGGTTCGTTCTACCGAGTAGTTCGGAATTTGACCTTGGTCCCTGTTATTGCATTGCAGGATGACATTGCCATTGCCCGGCTCGAACTCCCACGTGGGGAAGAGGTTGGAGATGTACGTGCGATTGGAGCGATTGTCGCATGTGTGGATGCTAACGCCTTCCCTGAAGAATTCTTTCAATGTTGATGATCGGTGTGAACGGTCTGCTTGTAGGGAGGTCGAGCCCGCCGAAGGTGATATTGACGGTATACAGACACCGTCGCAACGGTGAGGCGTAATGCGACTCGGGCGCAGGCAGTCCGGCTGATGTCATCTGTGTTTTCCCGAACGTATTCGCCTTCTGAGCCTGTGCGATACCGTCCGACGTCAAGAGAGCGTCTCTCCACGTGACAGTAGCATTGCCATCTCTTCAGCTTAGTAGCAGTTCCAGACTGGAGCGCCATAAGAGGACTTGGCTGCGTTATGGAACCCCTCACCATGTCTCGCGAGGAACAATACCTTGTACGCCACGTCCTCACTGAAATTGGAGTTCAAGGCATCAACGTAAGCTGAAAACCGCTGCCATTGTGCCTGGTTTTGTAATGTGCTTCCTGGGGATGAGTCTGTGGGATACGTCCTGTTCAGGAGACTAAAGTTGACCGTCGTGTGCAACTTGGTGAGCGCAAAATATCGCAATCTGCTGATATATAAGGACTTACGTAGTCAAACGCTGAAGGCTCCGTGCTGACCTCGTCTTGGAGAAACAATCCATGGACCGTCGTGTAGTCTTCCAGGCTACTGGGGTTGAGGCCAGGGTACCTAGGTAAGGAGAAGTGACGAGGCAAGGGCTGGCATGATGGCAGATGTCACAGATGCGTCCCTTCAGAGAGACAAGACATTTCAAAAAGCAATCAACAGATGAGCCCATTAAATGGTATTGTGTCGTATCGTGATCATCGCCATCATTTTGGCGACCTGACATCGTCCTTTATGGCATCCGCGTTTCTGAGGAGAGCGCCTTATTCAGCAGGCGCTGGCTCGTCAGAGACTCTCCTCCCACTTGAAGTGCTTTGCTGCTATCAAAATATGGATTTTGGTGTCCCCATGGTGCTGCATCCACATCGAGCGAAGACGGTAGCCGATCAATCGAGAACGTGTGGGAATATGTCACAGGGGTTAGAACTCAGTTGGGCTTTTATCCGAACTCCTGCACGGTCTACAAGGATCCTCAAATCTGCTGCTTTTGGAAAGTGTCCTACTGAAAGATGACAACAGCAATCGGAATCCGCAACCCTTCCGCGACACATGTTTCCTCAGGTAAATGTGATCTTTTGACCCATGAGACTCTTGAAGGCGTCGTCCAGAGCCTTTCGTTTCTGAGCCCTTTCTTGCTGAATCATGCCAGAAGTGTCATCCTCATCCTCTGCGTCCAGCCCCCGCACTTGTGGCATCCAAGCTCGGATTTGGCCATCAGTATGCCCGCTGAAGACTTGGCCGGAGGCATTAGATGCTCCAGGCACAATTCCACTCGAACCACCTGCGCCTCCAGCTCCTCTCCAGACGAGGCTCGTGACCCGATTCTTGACAGTTCTCTCACCACCACGCTGTGCCCTCACGCCTGAGATTTGCGCGCCCACGCCTCGCAGGCGGGATACAGTGGTACCCTCATGCAGGTCGAAGACCAGGATTTCTGTCTCATTTGCCCAGAAGAGCAGCTCTTTCCGGGAAGCCGTCAAGCCTACAGGCGTCGTGAACATGGGAGCGTTAGCAAGTTGGCCATTCTTGATGCTCGGCCCAAACGATGCAAGAGTGTTCGAGCCTGCCGCAGAGTCCCATACGCGTATACGCCTATCGTGGCCTGCTGATATAATATATGCGCCGTCGTCTGTCCAAGTCAACCCATTCACGGGGCCGGAATGCGCCTTTGCCGACAACCGGACACCTCGATCCGAGATATGATTCCCGTTGACGTCTCCACGCCTGCGCAGAATACCTAGACTATCCTCTTGATCCAGAAGGCCTATGAGACTGCTCGCGCGACGGACGTCCCATATCCGAACTGCGCCATCCAAGGTTCCGCTCGCGAGGACGTGTTCATTTCGCGGTGACCACGCTAGAGACAGGACCGCACCACCTCCAGCTCCTAGCTGTCCCGGAGCGACAAGCGACTGCACAGCCGCGCCTGAGCGTAGATCGACAAGCCGAACGGCTGGGTGGGCAGTCCCACAGGCCACCAATAGATGGTCCGCAACTGGTGAGATAGCATGCGTATATAGCTTGGACTCGAGGTCCCACGAACCGGACAGCTGAACACTGTCCGTGGCCCATAATTTCAAGGTCTGGTCGTAGGAGCTCGAAAGGAACGCGGCCGGGTCAAAAGGGTAGAAGGACAGATGCGTAATGCCGAATCGATGGGACCTTGTCTTGTCGTCGGAACGCGCAATCTGCGCCGAGGGCTTGTAGACATGCGGGTTGTTTGGATTGTCGCATTGCTCCACATCCCAGAGCCTTATGGTCGCATCTGAGCCCCCGGAGACCAGTCTGTGAGAAGATCTTAGCTGAAGCCCGGAAAAAGCCCGTCGCCTGGAGGAACCAGGAGAGACGGGTCAGACCAACTGGACAAACATTCTGCCATCAAATCGTTCGAGTGCCAGCGCATTTACACCAGCCTGGTGGGCCCACAGATTCTTCTTCTGATCTGTATTCGCATTTGCAGGGTTAAAGCTGGCCTCGCCAACCTCGAGAGCCGCACCCTTCTCGCCGCCATCGAATCGAATTTGAGGTGCTGGTCGGAATGAACGCGACAGCCGTGTGGTCTCGAGTTTCGCAAAAGCGTTGGGGCCGAGGCCGCCCGTGGCCCGTTCAAACAAGAGTTTATTCATGCATCGGCACTATAGGTCAATCATGCTTGATGCACAGGCAGGTCTTGACGGTGAGGCGAGGTGTCTTCGGAACAAGCTGAGACAAGCCCAGGAATGTTGGCTCGGAAATGTGAAGTCGGGCAAGTGCAGACTGTCTCTCCAGGCAAACCCCGCACTGCCTAAATACCGTACCTTTCTGCCTGTCTGCCTGGGTCTCCTCCCAAATCACCTTGCAGGAGACTGGAGGGGGTCTCAGCGCATGCCATTCATGTGCACGTGTAGAGTGTGCTCAAGCTCTTGTAACCTCACCCACTGCACAGTTGACGACCGCCGACTGCACGACTGAGTTGGACACTCCGCATTCTCTGAGTATGCGCTGAGATCCGAGAGAATGACAGTGGCACGTGCCTATTCACGTTGCGACTTTCACTGACCACTTTTCACTCCAGTGCCAACGCCGATTACTCGTCCCAGACAGAGGCAGCCCGACTAAACTTGACTGACCTGTTCAGGTCAGCTGTCTCATCCCTGAATTTTTTTTCCTCGCCAGAACCGAGAACATGGCCTCGCGGAATCGCGAGCGAGGATCCTACGTCTACGGCGAAAACAGCTCGGAGGCCCTGTCCACGGACCACGAGGCAGCAAGGCAGAGACACGCCACCTTGTATGATGCAGTCGCAGGTATGCTTAACCTGTGCCCGATGCGCACCGCTGCATCCGCTCGTTGTGCGCCACAGTACGCTGACAGGTGCACATCTTCAGGTCGGGTTTCACAAAAGTTCTCAAAGGATGGTGCCACCAGTGGCAGCCGCAAAACCACCTTGGGTCAACATCACCTCGGCGACCCTGTTCTGCCCCCCGAAGAGGTCCTGTTCTCCCGCAAGCGCGCCCCGCAGCGTTATGCCGAGAAGGACATATATTTCGCAAATGAGTCCCTGCTCGACGGTGGCCGCGACATCCTTCCCGATAGCGACATGGTCAAGGGCATACATTGCTACGCGAGTCATTTCTACGAAGCCCTGGGCCGCTGGTGTGCAAGGGAGCCACGCGGTAGTATAGGGCGCGTCAACGACCGAAGCATGGATGAAACGGCGCTCCTCGCGATTGGAATCCTCCTGGAGGAGTCTGCCCGGCAGTCATTGGGCAGGGACGGTGACCTGGTGCTCACCGAGGGCCTCGAGGACGGTGGCCGGGGCATCCAGAAGGAGAGCAGCTCTCGCAGAACACAGACTCCTGTTGGATTCGAGGGCGAGCTGACCTTCTGGAAAAGGCCATATGCGAAAAGGAGGAAAATCAAAGACGAGACAGATTAGACCTTCTATGCTAGGCTTCAGGTTAATGCTGGAAGCCACATCACCGCAACGTCTGCCCAGGGGACCCCCCGTAATCCCAAAGGAGATTACTCAAGAACGCCGGGTCAATCCCACACCCAAGATGCCAGTTGTCGCCATCAGACGATCGGAATGAAGAATGCTTGCTCACAAACTGTTTATTGATACATACGTTCTCACCAAGACCTTCGCTTGCCAGTAGTGAACCTCTACGAAGATGCATTGAAAGACCTGATGTTTTCAAGGCAGGAAATGCTTGCTTCGGCCCAAATCGCCCAGGCAGCATCACTCAATCTCGGTGAGAAACGGCTGCGTTCTTCTTGCTCCTGGTCGTGAGCGCACGCATTCTGGTCCTGGCTCTGCTGAGGCAGCCATGGCCAGTCCGTCAGCAGGCCACAGCTTCAGCTCCACTACAGCATGGCATAGCTGAACGAGTACCACATCAGAGTTTTAGTCATTATACAAACTCCCTAAGTATAGTTCTAAATATAGAACCTAGTATTTTTTTACTAATATAACTAGTCTAATCCTAACCTAGACTAATCTTTATACTCTTCCTCCCCCTTTTTCTCTCTTTTCCTTCTTTTTTTATTTTTTATTTTTTATTTTTTATTTTATTTTATTTTATTTTATTTATTTTTAACTTTTTTTTAAATTTCTCTTCTTTTATTCTCTATATTTATTCTTAATATTTATATTATTAATTATATTATTATTTATTTTAACATTAAGATTTAAAATAAATATGGTAAAAAAATACGATATGGTACTTATTCAGCTATGCCATGCTGTACTCCACCCGACCTTCGACCTTCGACCTTCTGCGCGGTAGCCGCCTGCGATACGTAGGCTTGCAAGACTGCCCTGTTTTCTCCGCAGGTCGACATCGACGGCTCATCCAGAGATATGCCCTTCGGCCAGCTGAGCTGTTAGCTGCCCCGGCCACCCTGTCGGCGCAGGTGTGGCATTCACAAAGGGACCACGCAAGGGTGTCTTGCAAGGCTCCAGCACGATGGTATGCATGGATGCAGGAAGCTTGCTAGCTTCGGGAAGAGAGGCAGGGCCCGTCTGCAACGTCGGGACCAAACTGATGAGCAAAAATGCAGCCCTGGAGCTGGTCCCGCATCAGATATCGTTACCCAGGTACTGTGGTATATGACTTGTGGGACGAGACGAACCCGTGGCCTACTCATCAACAACCCAGACTCCACCAAGCCACAACTCAAGGAAGAAGCATGGCCATTCGCGATGCCACGCATCCCCCTGATGCGCGCCGACACTGCACCATTGGCATATCTGGGCTCAGATACGTTATTTTTTTTAGAGGACCGGAGATCTCCATTCAGAGGACATCATGCATCTTGGATTGCCATCTGGCGAGATAAGCGAGTCCGACTTGAGACGACTTACCCCTCCAACCCCCCTCCCCCCGGGCCATCCAACGCCTCTGCCATCCAGCCAGCCAGCTTGCCCTCTCTAACATTTGCTTTGTCTGGCACTGCTTCTTTCCTACCGGCTGGCCGAGACTGTGTTCGATGGCCAGCCATACCTCTCCTCGAGCAGGATCGCTTGTGGAGGCAAATTCGACTCGCAGCTGTCATATCTCGCAAGACGTTGTTCCCCGCCAACACCGGCAAATGACATTCAACTGTGCTTGCGGTTACACTTGTTGGGGTATCCGATAAGGTAACGCGCTCGCGGCCTAACTGCATCGCCTGCGAAGCATGCCGTATCGCCGCCCACGCTGCCACTGCGGCGCTGTTGCCCTTTTCCCCATGCGCCCGCCAAACTTGGACTGCACGGTACTTTTCCGAGTCCGGAGCTTTCCGGCCGGACGAGGTCCAGACTCCAAAGAGAGACTTGCTCGTCGGTGCCGTTTCCTCCGGTCCGTCTTTCGTGCAGGGAGGATGGCCCGACGGCATTGACAAGGCAGCGTGTGCAACGCTCGTGACAGCATTGTTTGCTACCTGGCTTGGACTGGTGATGCACTCGAGATGGCAGTCGACTGTGCGTCAGGGAACTTGAGGCTGAACCGCCTCGTCTCCACGCCGAATCTCATGCTGTAGCTTGCCGTCAAACAAGCAGCATAGAATGCAATAATACCCGTGTACGTTCCCGTAAGCAGGCGTCTGATGGGCCGATGCCCCAGAAATAGCTGGAAACGGAGAGAGAACGGAGCTCAAAAGCACATCGAAAGCCATGTGTGCTTCTTCGAATCGGGCCAGGCGCTGCCTCATAACACCCTTGATCTGCAGAGGGCTTGCCCAAAGCCATCTGTCACGGGGCTTCCATGGGGCGGCTTCTGGCTCGCCCAGTCAGCCTGCCGCGATCCGTAGCAATCCCTCGCACCAGTCGGCATCGCGCACATTTTGGAATGTGACAGCTGGCGGCCACTGCGCACCGCGAAAATGACAACTCACAACAGCCAAGGGAACGGGCGAGCCTCGTCCGCCTCTTGCCTTAGCGAGCCGCGTTCCTGGTAACCCAGAAACCGAGATCTCGGGGCATAGGTTATCTCCCTCGCTTCATCGGGCTCCCGTCTTGTCCATGCCTATCCAACATGTCGGTGTGCTCACCTCCATCCTCAGGCACAACAACGAGATGCTCAAACGCCACTCGGCGACCCTTTCCACCACCCGTCTCGCTGAAGAGGGTGGAGGGGAGGGCGCTTGTGATCGAGGCTGAAATTGACCCTGAAAAAGATGGCGAGGGGAAAGAAGAAAAGCAAATTCGGGTCACCCGTCTGTTGCGGTGTCACCGCAGGGTCCTTGCAAAGTCCTTCCCACTTGTTTGCTAAAAATGCTCCAAGACGAGCTGACAGGTCAATTCCGAATAGGGTCGGCAGGTCCTGGCGAGGCAATAGTTTCGTGATTGTCCATCATCACGAGTCCTCATTGCAGTACTTCAGCGGCTAATAATGTTTGCCTGCACCTGGTGACTGCACATGAATATTGGGAAAGCAAACACAAGAAAACCCGCTATGATGACTCTACATCAATATGCAATTATCGCGACACCAAGACAGTGAAAGCTTATACTGTGCCACTGTGCCACCTCTGCGCATGCCACGTGCGGATGTGTTTGAAGTTGAGGGAAATGGTCTTCCCGTCGTCTGAAGATGACTTGGACTGAGTGCGAGGCGCACTCACAACGTTCAAGCTAGACGAGGAATGTGATCCTCTGCTTTGCGTGGAAGTACGCCGCCGACTTCCCCGGATCGGAGACTCGACCAGCCGTCCCTGTCTTACGGTAGAGGGAGTGCCACTACCGACCACCTTGAAAGGAAGCCTAATGAGAAACGACGCGATGTTTGCGAGCACCCTTCCTCGCCACCCACTCGGCCGTAGTGTCCCGGCCTTTGGTGATGCTCCAACAGGCAACGTGTCGCGGGCCCGGCTCGGAGATTGAACCACGAGATTAGGTTGCAGTGGAGACGTACCGATTGACTTTGAAAGGTTGGGCAGGAAAGATCAGCAGCGCTGGGGCGCTGTCCAAGTATCTTGGACGTCGCTGAGAGGGCCCCTTTTTGAGGGCGGCGAGGGTGCGCCGAAAAGTTGCTCGCTGCCCGGGGGGGGGGGCAACCAGGATACCCTCGCCCGTTCCCGGAGAGACACTTGATGCTTGCCGTCACGTGGACCGGTCTGTGAGGTCGCATCTGCGGACGCGACGAACGAAGATCTAGAGCGGTGATGGACGATGGCTTGCAGTCATCCGTGATCACGGTGTTTCGGTGTAACGCTGCGTGCCCTGTGAAACACAAATCTTTAGGTTGCTGTTCCCAACGTTTAATGCCACAACGCAGGTCGCAGAAAAACACCTTGGGCTGGAGTGTCACCGCCCGCGGAGATGGGCCATCATCTCATCTACGCCCAGGATGATGTCCGATGCGATGCACGTGCGAAACCTCTGCTGAAGCTGAGGCGACGGCGACGAGTGGTCTGCTCTTCGTCCTCGCCCGTTTCAGCTACATTCCCTAGCCACGGTAGCTCGCTGCCTGTTGACACGATGGGCTGCGGTGTCCTCAGCAAGAGTCATTATCTGACTGCCGAGTTTGGCTGTGCAGCTAGCTTATCTTGCACATCAAGTATTATGCGTCTACCGCCAACGTCTTCAGCCGGCGGTCAAGCAGACGTGCTATACCATAGAGTTTGGACCAAGGCCACAAGCCGGCATAAGGTCGGGCGCCTGGGCCAATTGCGCCACGGGTCCCGCCCCCCATATTTTGCAAGGTGAACAACGACTCGCATCAAGTGTCGGGCGGTCTGAGCTGTCCACATTCAATTCGTCGTCGAGGCTAGCTGTTAAAGAGGCGGTGATGAGAACTCACACCAACTCCGACGTCAGTTCTGCAGTAGAGGCGGCAGCCCCCTCCAGGACGTGACATCGGTATTACTGTGTACATCCTTTCGATGGATGACGGCCGGAAATGACCGGCTGCCAGAGACTGTGTGCTGAGCAGTCTGTCCGAGTCTCTCCGAGTTGCGACTTGGATGGAGCATCCGAACACGACCGAACAGAGAGCAGTCGGCGACGAGTCAGCCGGGAGAGGCAAGGTGAGGCCTGCCCTCACCCTGTCCACCGCAAGGTTGGAGGTATGATGCCGGCAGCCGCGGTCGATCAGTTTCAGTCTATCACGATATAGCGTGAACTCTATTTCCACTGGCACCTCTAGGGGGGCGACTAGGGTATCGCAGGTGTTGCTGCCCTTCTCAACTAATTCCCCTTTTGGCCATGCAACGACCAATGACTGCGATAGAACGCGTCGCCAGATGAACAGAGCTCGCATCCAGCATATTATCGAGCACATCTCGCCCGTCTACCGATGGATCTGTCAGGAGCCAGACGCAGCCTTGTGGAGGAGATCCTCGTTCTAGAATCTCGCTGGGCATCAAGCCGCGCATAAATTCCCAGAATAGCCCTTGAGTCGGGGCCCTAGGAACGGCGTTGATGCCCAACGAATAGGGGTCCAAAGGGGTCCAATGACGCCGTGCAAGTTGCAGAGAGGTGCAGGATCTGATCCTTTACCGAGATTGAGGACATTGATGGATAGTTTCAAGACGGTATGAAGAGAAAAGGATGCAGTTGACAGCCCATCCAAGCCAGACCACTCAGCGTCTAGTACCAGCTTCACGGTACGCCGAGGTACCGCGGTCAGCCGTGGCTTAGACAGCGGCTCTTCGTCTTGTCCAGCTGTGTGGCCAACGGCATTTTGGTCCAGCAATAGCGCC